AAATGAGCTGATGAATGAGCAATGATATGAATGGGAACGCGCGATGGCTGAACCTTGCGTGACTCTGGAGACAGAGAGGGTGTGCGAACACTGACAGGTGCGTGACTAGTTTGACAGGTTTGGGATCCTTAGTGGCTTAGGACTCTGAACGTTCAGCTGTTGCAAGTTGCTGCTATCAACGAATTTAAATTACTCCTGATAACACACATGCTTGTATATGTGCCGCATGTAATAAAAGCCTAATTACCGAAAAGCCTTTTAACTAGCTGTTAACATGCAAGGTCAGGCACTCAGAACTGTTCCAGGTTTCTCTAGCAGTAACGTGTCTAGTTTGTTTCAAAATTTCAAGGGAAGTACAGCCTCAAGGGAGCTACCATAAAGTGGGCGCGTAACTGCTTAGATAACTGTTCCCAGTGAGTAGTTATCACAGACAGGCTGGAAGGGCTAAACAAGTAGAGATTCGTTCTGCGTCGGGTTCTGTTCATTATCTTCATCAATGATCCAGTTAATGGCCTAGAAATACACTTACAAAGTTTGCAGATGATACCAAGCTGGGAGGGGTTGCAAGTGCTTTGGAGGGTAGAATGAAAAATCAAAATGATTTGGACAAACTAGAGAAACAGGCCTAGGTAAATAGAACGAAATCAATAAGGACAAATGCGAAGTACTCTGCTTAGGAAGGAACAATCTGTTGCACACCAGAATGGGAAGTGACTCTCTAGGAAGGAGTCCTGCGGAAAAAGATCGAGGGGTCATAGTGAACCACAAGCTAAACATGAGTCAGTAGTGTGACGCTGTTGCAAAAAAAGCAAACACAATTCTGGGTGGCATTAAGAGAAGCGTTGAGAGAAATACACAAAGTCGTCATTCTGCTCTACTCTGTGCTGATTGGGCCTCAGTTGGAGGGTTAAGTAAGCACCTTCCAGCCAGAGCCTGCCTCTGGCATCCCACCTCTGATTGCCCTATTGTCGTTATTTACCATTGTCTTTGTGATCCTCAGATCCTTAAGATAGACACAGACAAGTGGGGGCTTACGCTGATTGAGCTAAGGGGAACCTGAGCTAGCTCGCTTTGACTTACCCTGGTGGTAGCTGAACTGAGGGTGTTCAGAAGCTTGTATGTAGACTGCATCTGTAACTGGTACATGCGTGGAAATGAATCCGGACAGGTATTTGACTGCTGCAGAAGTAGGACGTTAACGAAAGTTCCACGTTTTTTTGGCCTGTTAGGCATTCAACCTGGCATTTCATGCCATGCCTCAGCTGTGAAAGAAGCTTAATCTTTTTGTGATTATGATTTTTATTTGTAACATGTGTCTCATGCTTCCTGTGCCTCTGGTCTACAAAGTGATGAGAGTCAGAATATTCGCAGTTGATCTTCCAGAGGTTGATTTAGCAGGTCTAGTTAAGTTCAGAAATTGAAACTCAGAGGGCACCCCAGTTAGTGGCCAGTATTCCTGCTTCTGAGAGGAGTAAGGGAAGCCAACGGGAGGAAACTCGAAACAAGGTAAGTCAACTCCAGCTACGTGATTAAAGTAGCTGGAGTTGCTTATCTTGATTTGACCTTCCCTTTTCATGTAGACCTGGCCAAAACCTTCACTCATTCAGGTTGTTCCTGAATGTCTCTGAGCACTGCGGTAGTTGAATTAGCCAAACAGAAGAGCCAAGAACTCGCCTGCCTGCAGTCATTCCCCTCAAGCTGTGATGATCAAATGTCAAGAGCTAACCAGAATTGAGTTATGTTGGTATGTGGATGGAAGGTACTGCTGGGGGCAATATTGAGGGAAGAGTATCAGGTATCCCTAAAGTCTTTACTTGAACCAAATTTCTAGCACTGATGAGGAGGAGCTGTCTTCCGTTATTTATTGTTGTGTGCCGTTTTACAGCCATTTTACACTTCAGAGTGGCTTGCCTTTCTGTGGTAGGGAAACCTTTCCCCAAACTAGTAATAAAGTAATTACAATTCTAAAGATTCACTGAATGGAAGGTGCCCCCATGAGTTGGAGGCATGTGTAGAGAACTGGGTAGTTTTAGCTTCAGTTACTTCAAAGCAAGACACGAGAAGTCATTCTTCTGCTCTACTCTGTGCTGGTTAGGCCTCAGTTGGAGTATTGTGTCCAGTTCTGGGCACCACATTTCAAGAAAGATGTGGAGAAATTGGAGAAGGTCCAGAGAAGAGCAACAAAAATGATGAAAGGTCGAGAGAACATGAGCTGTGAGGCAAGGCTGAAAGACTTGGGCTTGTTTAGTTTGGAAAAGAGAAAACTGAGAGGGGACATAATAGTGGTTTTCAGGTATCTAAACAGGTGTTACGAAGAGGAAGGGCAAAATTGTTCACCTTGGCCTCTGATGATAGGACAAGAAGCAATGGGCTTAAACTGCAGCAAGGGAGGTTTAGGTTGGACATTAGGAAAAACTTCCTAACTGTCAGAGTGGTTAAATACTGGACTAAATTGCCTAGGGAGGTTGTAGAATTTCCATAACTGGAGATATTTAAGAGCAGGTTAGACAGATGTCTATCAGAGATGATATAGACCATGCTTGGTCCTGCCATGAGGGCAGAGGACTGGACCTGATGATCTCTCGAGATCCCTTCCATTTCAAGTGTTCTGTGATTCTAAAAGCTAATTTAACATAGAAGAGAAGTTTGAGGTGCAGCAAGTAGAATTAAAGAAAACAAAAAGTTAAATTAAAATCTCAAAACACTTTCTAGAACCTAATCCTAACACACAAGACAGTCTCCATTCTCAGAAAGGTTAGCTCATCTGAAGTTTTTCTTCCAGCATTAAACAGCCAGACCAGCTGTAATCCTCCATTCAGAAGACAAGCCAGCAGTTAGTTTGTGCCATAGGAAGTCTGGGTGTGCTTCTGCACTCCCAGATGTATTTCCAATGATCCATCGTTGTCACCAATAAATGGTATCACCCTGGGCGCCCAGGGCGCGAGCGGCCAATTCGCGGCGCTCCCGGGGCCGGCGCTTACCATGCGCCCGGGCCGGCTCCGGCCCCGATGAATGCACCATGTTGGGGACCACTGATCTAGACGGTGCTTGGTCCTGCCATGAGGGCAGGGGACTGGACTTGATGATCTCTCGAGGTCCCTTCCAGTTCTAAGTGCTCTATGATTTCTATGAAATAAAGATCCAGGCTCGTTTTACCTGTTGACTTCTTAGGATCTCACTGTTGAAGTGAGAAGACGTCTCTGCTCTATCATCCATCACAGCTGGGTATGTTGTTTTCTGGGCTTCAGTCTTGCTGATCCAGTCTTTTTTTTAAACCTGAGAGTTGGAACAAGTCCTGATGCGTTAGAGCAGTGGTTCTTAACCTTACTGCAGCCTGCACCCTTTTGGTTCTCAAAATATGTTCTCACACTCCTTATTAAAAATAATTGAAGTAGGTCAGTTCTTTAAACCTAAGATATATCATAAAAATCTGGCATGTCTCGCACCCCCAGAAAGGGCATCTCGCACCCCCAGGGGGTACGTGCACCCCAGATTAAGAGCCACTGAGTTAGCAGATGATATAAAAGTGTCTGAGATGCACTGGGAAGTGTATAGTGACCTCTTCATTATTCTTGTCCCTGGGCGATCCTGGCAGAAGGTCTGTCCCTCTGGGATTTTGCTGTGTGGAGAACCAGAGCAGATCTTGGAGTAATACAGTCTTTGCTGGGACTTAGAGTGACCAGTTTTCTAGAGCCCTGCATCGATACAAAATTTGTGTCCACATCCAAGCCACAAAATGTTCTTTGGATACCCTTAGTTCTGATACCAGATTTGCAGGGCTCTGGTGCTCTCTGAAGGACATCTCAACTGAGGTGACCTCGACAGCTCTCCACCATTAGCTTAAAGGTATTTGCTTTGTGTGCTAATGAATGGCCTTTAACAGATAGAGAGGCTGGATTGAGCACAGTGTGTAAGTGTTGGTGGTGGTCTCATCCTTTGGAGACTCCGGATCCTTTTATCTGGCTGATCATTATTGTCCACCGGAGGTATAATACCTTCCCCTCAATGGTCACATTTTCTGTTCCCTGGCTTTGAGTGCCATTAAAGTGTGTCTCTGCCGTGTGCACACCCTTTGTAAAGAGGTTTCTTTGTGTTCCGTGTGGCTGGGCAAGTTGTCACGGTGCTGAGTGTGTACTTGAAGGGTGGCTCTCATGAGCTTGCAGAAGATGTGTTGTTTATTAACGAAAATAACTGCAGAATGCAATCGACCTATTTTAATTTCTCAGGCGTACTGCAGGGAGCTGGTTCTTGGGTGAGGGGAGTACCATGCGGTATGAATAAGAAGTGGGGTTGATGGAGGAAGAAAGTGGTTTGTTTTGAGACTTGTGACGCAGGAAGCTGGCTGGGTCTTACCCACTGTTTGCCCTCCCAGCTCTATCTTGCTTTTTCAGTTTACCCCTGGGTCCCACTTGCTGCAGCTGACCGCCCCATCATGGGGTCTTGGGTAGTCTCCAGACTCTGGGGGAGGTTGTCTTGGGGATTTTGGGTTTAGACACAACGTGGTGGCTGTCTCATTGCTGTCCTCTTCTTGAGCAGTGGTTGCTAGCTGACTAGGATGGGGTCCACTAAGACAAGGTCACTTCTGCTGTGGAGCTTCCAGGATTAAGCGACTTCCAAAGAAACCTTTGTGTTGCAGGTTCTGGGCGTGCTATTAACTGTGGAGCCAGGGGCCCCTCTGCCAGCAATTGTGGTTTGCTCCAAAGTTGTTTCTCAGGAGCCTGGAGGAGAGTTCAGGCCATAGTGAAGCAGCCATTCTCGCGCCCCTCGAAGAAATGGTGCCTGTGGCTATATGCCCAATGAGAGCAACAGATGGAGCTGGCTAGTTCAGATTCAACTGGCTGCCTCTCGAAGGGAGCTGGAGCCTGCTGGTGGCACAGCTGCTGATCCAGCCTTCAGAAATAAGGGGACCTCCGGAAGAGCCAAGTAGCCTCTTTGTTATATTGATTTAGGAGCGGCCTGTGCCTGATCAGTCTGTCCTTCCCCTCCCCTTTGAATTGCAGACTCGGGGCTCGTCGTCCCAAGCGTCTCTTACGAACTGCACAAAAAGCTGCTTTCGGTGGCTGAGAAACACGGGCTGACTCTGGAGCGGAGACTGGAGATGACGGGGGTGTGCGCCAGCCAGATGGCATTGAGTCTGCTCGGAGGACCCAACAGGTAAATCTCCCTGTTTGCTTTGGGAATGGAGCAAAAGAATCCCCCATGAAAATCTTTGGAACTGTCACAATTCAGGATGACTGCACCTGCCCAGCAAGAGCCACCTGCTCTCGGGGTGTGGCTTCAGCTAGTTTCCCTCTTGGGTAGAGACTTGCCCCGCTCCCCCTTCTGGCTGGAACGTATCCAGGCTGTGCAGGTCCTGGCGTCAGTGTCTCCCTCGCAGAGACAGGCTGCCCAGCCAGACCGGGCAGGTCTACGCAGCAGGGCTGAAGCTGAAAGAAGCGACACACTTGAGTTACGTCAGTTGTGTAGCTGAAGTCAAAATAGCTTATTTTGGCTTTTGGCACTGTCTGCACAGCAGGAAGTCTGAGAGAGGGAGCCCTCTTCCTCCACCTCCCTCACTCCTCAAACCACGAGGGTTACAGGAGTCTGAGTAAGAAGTCCTCCAGCTCGACATTGTTTTGCCATTACGTCGAAATTAGCGGCTTGTCGCGTGGGCACAGACGCTGTTATTTTGAAATAACGCTGCTGTGTAGACGTACCCACAGTTAACAGGTGTAATTGTTACAGCTACCAGGTCCCACGCGGCGTTTTCTGGGCAGGCCTGCTTTATTCTCAAGATATAGAGAAACCACTAAAAGTCCAAAAGAGCCTACACATGAGCTGAGCGAAGGTTGTCAGAGTGAGCCCCAACTCGAATAGGAAGCAGCTCCTCTTGCCCTGGACCAGTCCAAGGGTTACAAAATCATCACTGTTTCCCCTCAGAGCAAGAAATCTCTGAGCATGTTTAGTCCAGGCCTAGGGGTCTTTGACCTGGAGGTTCCAGGAGCAGGTAATTAGTAAACTAGGGTTGTTAAAGTGCAGTTATTTTACTAATGGAGTAGTCAATAGAATTTTTATTAACTACGTGATTAGTTGATTGGGGAAGGCAGCCTGGCTCAGGCCGGGACCAAACCCCTCTATGACTCGGGGAAGGCAGCCTGGCTCAGTCCTGGTTCAGGCCGGGACCAAACCCCTCTATGACTCTGCAATGTAAAATGCAGGACAAGCTGAGCAGCCTGCCCCCCATCTCCTACTGTGTTTTGAATTGCAGAGCTGCAGCGGGGTTTGGTCCCGGCACGAGCTGGCATTGAGATATCTTGGCATTGGAAAAGGTTCAGAAAAGGGCAACAAAAATGATGAGGGGTTTGGAACGGGTCCCATATGTTTGGAACGGGACTTTTCAGTTTAGAAGAGAGGAGACGGGGGGGGATATGATAGAGGTCTATAAAATCATTACTTGTGTGGAAAAAGTGAATAAGGAAAAGTTATGTACTTGTTCCCATAACGTAAGAACTAGGGGTCACCAAATGAAATTAATAGGCAGCAGGTTGAAAACAAACAAACAGAAGTTTTTGTTCACACAGCGCACAGTCAACCTGTGGAACTCCTTGCCAGAGGATGTGGTGAAGAGTAGGACTTTAACAGGGTTCAAAAGAGCTAGATATGTTCATTGAGGTTAGGTCCATTAATGGCTATTAGCCAGGATGGGTAGGAATGGTGTCCCTAGTCTCTGTCTGGAAATGGGTGACGGGAGGGATCACGTGATGATTCCCTGTTGTGTTCCCTCCCTCTGGGGCATCTGGTACTGGCCACTGTCGGCAGACACAATACTGGGCTAGCGGACCTTTGGTCTGACCCGGTATGGCTGTGCTTATGATATTTCAATCAATGACAGTAACTGCTATGTAATATATACAGGGCCCCACTAATACAGCTGGCCAGATGTGGCTTTGTTTCCACGGTCTCTGCAGAAGCATCATTGTAGCCTGAGATGGAGCCCTGCACTATGTTTGTGCATGTCCTCAAATGACTGAAAATTAGATAGTGAATCTCGATTTACCCACATGTCAACCTAGAGGAGAGCTTTGCCAATAGCCTCCCTTCCTCCTTATCCCTCCCCCGACATTGTGTGGGTATGTAGAGAACCAGGAAACCCTCGGGGAGCAACTGGGTCCCCCAGTTCTAGGATGTATTAATTGATATACCCACGGCTTCTCCTGGGTTTCGGTATCCCAGAACCAGTAACGTCCCTCAGCCAAATACAAAACAGAGGAGGGAATAATGAGGGATGCACCGTCTAGTTACAATATTTTTTACACTTAAATCCAGTTGGGGAATGTTGATCTTTTCCTGAGGCCTGATTTGACAAGGTCAGATACGCAGTTGGCCTGTCTGCATCTGAGCACTCACCGCCCACCCCCCGATGAACAAAAACCTACTCTGTGTGCAGTCACTAATGAGGCAAGAGGACACACAATTGCACAGACACTTTTAAGCCTGATGTACGGGACCCTACATATTTTCATCCCTCTGGGGAGAGAGCGTTAACTCCCTCCTGTGTTGTCCAGAGGGTACAGCATCTCGATCCGGTGGCTCTCAAACCATTGTCCAGTGACTGCGCTTTCTCTAACCGTTCCTTTTGATGCCTTCTTATGCCTCGAGAGCATGCACCAGACCTCCTTGCTGGATAGAAACTATAGTCCCATTAGTCCTTCCCAATAGCTCCAGCTGGTGGTGCATGATGGTAATGGGAGTGCTTTAAATACGGCATCATGAATTGTCTTCTACCTGAAAATGCATCTGCTCGGTCTGAAATGACCCCTACGTCATGGTGGTGCTATTGTACTTTAAGCAGCTCTTACACATTCCTGTCTTGGGTTCAAAACGCGCCTCTTTAGTTCTCTGTGTTGCTTTGGATGCTGCTGTGGAACAGTAGTCTCACAGCAAAGCCGCCCAAAAAGAGCCAAAGGAAAAGGGGAAGCCATAGAACTCAAACCTGATTGGGCTGGCGAGCCCTTTGTTCTGAAACCGAGCCCCTGGGGCCGGGCCGTTGAGGAGATGTATAGATCAGTGCTGCAAGAGTCCAGAGGTTTGCAGTCTGTTACCTTCTGGGAAGCAGGGAGGTCACCAGTAATGGCCCAGCGTGTGTGTCTTTCCAGAGCAGAACTGGGTTCCCCGTCTGCAGAGTGTTCATCCGCTAGGGGGCCTCCTCGCTAGGGGCCGCTGTCGTCACTCTCCCATGGACAGAACGCAGCAGACACTTGGGACTGAATGGTTTCCCCTCCTCTGTTTCAGGCTGAACCCTAAAAACGTCCACCAGCGGCCCACGGTGGCTCTTTTGTGTGGCCCCCATGTGAAGGGGGCCCAGGGAATCAGTTGCGGGCGGCACCTTTCCAACCATGACGTTCAGGTCATCCTCTTCCTGCCCAACTTCGTCAAGATGCTGGAGTCCATCACCAACGAGCTGACCCTCTTCAGCAAGACCCAAGGGCAGCAGGTGTCCAGCGTCAAAGGTAACTGGGCCACGGAGCTATGGACAGAGGCTCGTGCTGAAGGGGCCAGGTCCCGTGTCCGAGTCCTGCACCTTTGTAGCATCCCCTGCGTGGCTGTGCGCACATGTCCCATTGGAGGTGTGTGCACCCAGTGCCCTCGAGTCCGGGCGGAAGGGCACGCACGGCGCACCTTGGGGAACAGGAGTTACTGGCCAGGAAAGTAACCGGTTTTTCTTGGGAGGGAGCTTGGGCCCTACTGCGTGTTGTTCTGACAGCGTGGGGCATTCTTAGCCTAGTGGTGCCACTTAGTGGTGCCAAGCGGCATTCCCTCCCTGCACGTAGCTCTGGTGATTTGCTGTAGAGCCCGCTCGGTGGGTATTTGTTCTGAGGCCGCTGTGCCCGCGTAGCGATGCTGGTACACGGGCCCTCCCCAGCGATTCGCTGCGACTCTGCATCACCTTTCGTTCCCCTCAGCTGGTCGGCAGTGTCTTGCTTATTCCGCGCCCTGAAGCTGCAAATAACTGAAATCAAGGTAGCCTGTGTTGGGCCTCGCTAACAATCCAACCCTGGTGTGAGCCGTGTGCAGACCTGTTAGTGCCCCTTAGTATTCACTGTGTCCGCAGATTGTTTCAGGGAGCAGCTTGTAGCTAGTGGGAGAAATTGGATTTTCAGTGGCCTTGGCTCTAAGGACACACGTTTTAAAATGTCTCATGTCCTGTTTTTCCCCCTTCTGGGAGAAACAAACTCCAGAACTAAAACGAGTGTAGCACAAAAGGGCGCTCGCCATGGATCTGGGCAGCACCGGACACAGGTAACACAGGGCTTGGAATCCAAGTTTCACAGGCGGCAACAGATAAATAGAACAGACAGCTGATCTGGGGGGAATCCAAGAAAACGAGGAGACCTTGCTGGTCAGCTTGACAAGCAGCAATTACAGCACACTGGCTGCCCAGCCACTGGCAGATACAGCAGAATGCTGCCCCCCTCCGTTTTCTGGCTGGTAGGTTCCCCTTCTTCCCCCCAGCCATTTTTGAATGGGTCTCTTTGGATATTGTTGGTGACTGGCCTCCCACCGCTATCTGGAGAGCTGTGGCGGATGAGCTGCGTGAATCGGTTTGTGGCAAGGTTTACAAAAGTGTTGGCTGTTTCATAAGATTTCCTGGCAGTAGATTCAATTAGAATCAAATTAAAGCTCGACCAATGTTAGGCATAAAACTCGTTGCATAGGGCCCTCCTGGGTAGGAGAGGAACCCTGCCACGCACACCAGTCTCCAGGCCAGGCACTGCTCAACCCGACCCTCTGCGTTGGAACCCAGGGTTACACCGCAGGTACTGCCACCTCATCAGACGTTCACGGACAGCTGTTCTGGCCGGCCATCTCTTGAGGAAGTGAAGCCTGGGTTCCAATTTGATCGCTCCCAACCACCTCCCAAACGTGCCCTACTTCAGCATGATGAACAGCGGGTGTCAACCGCAACTCAGCCTTTGGGCTCCATTGGCCGATGGCCAGGAGACACTCTCTCTAACTGGCAATGTATGGTCTTGTTTTGCCGCTTCCGAGTGCTAAAACGTGCCACTTCCAGGCCTCTTGCGCGGTCGGGAGTGGGAGTCGCTCTTCTGGAGGTGGGAGTCGGGTTCTTTGCGCGTAGCTGCTGTTTCCGCGGAGGGGAAGGTGCCTCCTGTGCCGGTATTGGCCGCCCACTAAACCTTGCGTGTTTCTTTCAGATCTCCCAGATACCCCCGTTGACCTGGTGATAAACTGCCTGGATTGTCATGAAAATGCCTTCCTGCGAGATCAACCTTGGTACAAAGCCGCTGTGGACTGGGCCAACCAGAACCGAGCCCCGGTCCTCAGCGTAGACCCACCTATGAGTGAAATGGAGCAGGGCATCGATGCCAAGTGGTCGCTGGCCTTGGGCCTGCCCCTGCCGCTGGGCGCGAG